GACCAGCTGTTCTCAATTTCTGCTTAGAACAGAACCAAATGAAATGAACCAAAAAGACTGTCAGGGATTTTAGGGGATCATGAGGATGATCTTAATGACAAGAGCAGATATATTAACAGCTAAAAGAGGCCAATGAGAGCACATGGATGAGAGCAGATATGTAAGGGTCAATGGAATTGTAACACAAGTCCCATTTCTGATGAGTCTCTGGCACTGAGAAATATGCAGCAAGCTAACGCCCTCTGCTTCTTATAAGAGAGGTATTCCAGAAACTCTAGAGACGCCAGGGTAATGCGGAAGAATCCAAACGCCATCTTGGCCTCACTGAATGAGGCCTGATGTTTATTATCACTTTTTTGCGTGTAATGTTGATGTCATTCCTTTGTTTAAATTGTGGTAAGATATACATAACACAAAATTTACTATCTCGGCTATTTCTGAGTGTGCAGTTCGGTTGCATTGAATACATTCACAATATTGTGCATCCATCATCATCATCCATCTCAAGAAATTTTATCATTCCAAACTGAATCTCCATGCCCATTAAACAGTAATTCCCCATTATTAATACTTTTGAAGAAGGCCCCTCACACAGTAAGCATTACTATGTTCTTCCATATTACCAGTATATTGGCAAAAAATGCTTTCATAAAGAGCATGGAGCCACGGTCAAGCTGGTGGACCATCCCAAAGTGAGCCCAACTTTCCCCTCCTACCAAGGATGTGCACTCCCGCCTCACCGTAATTGGGCCATGTCTCGGCAGAGCTCTATGTTAGGTCTCCTTGTACGCTCATCCAGTCTGGTCTGAGCCACCTTCAAGAAGGCAGACTTGTCCTTGATGGCCTTCTTGATGGATTGTATGGTCATTTCTGTCTGGAAAATCTCCTGCAGGGTCTGTACAAATAGAAGCAGATGCCCAAGGCTATGGCACTGTGCCTCCTTCCCACATGCTCCCCGCCTCCTGCCTGTCCATTTGGGGCTCATCTTGCCTTGTCTTCTCGGTTGGGGAGATTGATTCACTGAGTGCCCTGCTCCTTCTCAGCCCCGTTCCTAGGGAATCTGCAGTGTGTTGCTACAGGTGTCCCACTGCCCTGGAGAGCTGACCACATGCATCTTTTCCCAACTCCCAATTAGGGGTAAAACCAGCCAGGATGGGAGTATTTATACCACAGGTATTGGCAAATGCTACAAATAGGAGCTTCCCTCCTGCCCCAGATCACTGGTTGTTAAAAATTTACTGGCACATTTGTGTGTAACTCTGAGAAATGTGAGGCCATGAGGTCTGAGTGGCCCTAACTTCCCTCCTCACATCAACATATCCTTGCCTCTTATCTTCTGCTCTCTCTTCTCACTAATCTCACAGAGATGTTTTTCTGCTGGTGGAGGATTTGCTTTGAAGTAAATGAAGGTCAAGCTTCAGCGTTTCTCATTTGCAAGAGAGAAGCACTCAGAATTTTGTAGTCCTGATTTTATATCCTTTTTTCTTAAAAAGGTCCCCCAAATTGCATAAACCTAGATCTCTCCCTAGCTCCTCTTTTGTGAAGCTAGCCCCTCTCCTATGCTCTGAAAACTCTTCCTTCTCCTCTGAACTTGACCTCCATATTCCCATTTTTTCATATCCCTCCATCACTCTCACTCTTCCTCTGCCCCTTTCCTGTGGCCTGAATACATGCCCAAGTATTACCCCAATTTTTTTAAAACCTCATATCTTTACCACGTCACTCTTATCTGATCCCACCCGAGGGCTTCCAATTGGCACTCTCTCACCCTCTCCTCTGCCAAATGTACTCAACAACGGTCTTGCTCACTGCTTGCACTTCTGACCCACCTAATCTATTTTAAGTCCCTGGCCCTAGTTGCCCTCATGAGAGTGCACTCTGAAAGCCAATGATGAAGTCTCTCTGATGTCTCATCTCCTCCTTGAATCCTTCACCTTGTTTAATTTCCCTGGCCAACTATTGTCCTAATTCCTTGCCTTTTTTCTCTAACTACTCCTCCTCACTTCTAGTGCAAAGTTTTGTCCTCAGACCACTTCTCTGCTACATTCTTTCGCTCCTACAGAGATCTCACGTAATCACACAGTTTCAGCATTTGTGTAAGCCAGGAACTCTCAAATATGTCACATAAGCTTTGACCCGTCTCTCACTCTTTTAACAATCCTCTGAAAATCATTACACTGTTCCTATCACCAAGTCCATTCTCTGGGGCTCCTTGTCTCTCGCCATTGGAAATAACTGCTCCTTCTGCTAAACAAACATTTTATCTGTAAATCCAAGGAGTTTGTTGGCATCTTTCTAATGGAACTTATTTCTTATGTACAGGTCTTGTCTCACTCTAAGATACAAGATGGTAGGGTCAGTGTGTCATTCATGTATGTATACTCCAAAATGTTTACCTTGAATGTAGCTGTTATGGGCTGAATTCTACCCTCCTCTCCAACCCCCCAAATTTCATATGTTGAAGTCCTAATCCCTATTACCTCAGAATGTGACTATATTGGGAGATAGAGCCTCTAAAGAGGTAACTAGGTTAAAATAAGGTCCTTAGGGTAAGTCCTAATCCAATATGACTGGTTTCCTTAAAAAAAGAAGAAGTTAGAACACAAACACATGCAGAAAGAAGACCATGTGAAGACACAGGGAAAAGATAACCATCTACAAACCAAGGACAGAGGCCTCAGAAGAAACTAACCCTACCAACACCTTTATCTCAAAAATTCTAGCCTCCAGAACTATGAGACAATAAATTCCTTCTGTTTAAGTCCTTCAGTCTACAGTGCTTTGTTGTGGCAGTACTACCAAGTTAATACAGTAGTAAACAAAATTTTGTTGAACAAAGGGACTCCATCACATCAGTCTTCTAAAAAGTCTTTAGAATGGCTTCTTACTATCCAAAGAATACCTTTCCATAAGTGTCCACTACGGTTTGGCTCCAACCTACCTTTCCAGAACTTCTCTCCCAGCACACATACGATCTACGCCAGCCAAATGGGTCTCTTTACAGACCTGAACTCAACCTCTAATTGGCTACTCCTAAGGCTTTTTTCAAGATGTTGTCCACCTGAAATGTTCACTTCCTCTTCCAAATCCCCAAAACACTTCCTGTATTTGTTATTTGGCAACTGCAATATGTAATTTTTGTGTTTTATTAATTATTCATGAGCTTTTCATGTGTATGCATCTCTTCTTCACAAGAATACCTTCCCAAGGACAAAAACTACATTTTATACTTCTCTCTGCCCTTCACAGTATGTAGCACCATGGGGAGGAGAGATAAATTGCTGCAGTCTGAGAGAACATGGTGCCTTCAATTGGGTAATATCACCTTAGAGTGACATGACTGACTTGTAAGGTTCTTTAAAAAAGAAATGACTAATGTAGGCAGCATATGCAGCATAACCACATAAATAATAAGAGCTCCAAGTCTGATACTAAATATAAGAAGAGCTCCTTGTTTATCTTGAAATATATGAATTCTGCTTGAATCCTTCATTTTATCGTCATTATAAAATTCTTATACTTAGAGCACTTTAAAAAGTTCAATATCAGAAACACTTTGAACTACCTAATAGTTTCCTGTATTTGGTTTTGTATTCCAGAAAAAAAGTGCCCCAGATGATTTAACAGTAAACATTCTTGCCATATGTTCTAATAATAAATTTAATTCCTAGTTACATACAGTGATTCATTAAGCTTTAATAATAATATTTTTGTTTCTGTTAAAAATACCAGCAACCTTTTATTACATAGTGCATTCTTTGTGTTCCAAAAAAAAAAAAATCAGTGGATTCCAATTTCATTTTGATACCTTGCTACCTTGCTAAAATAAATGGTGCACTTTGTACTGTTTTTAATTTTTCTTAGTCTGGCCAGGAGGTCGTGTGCCTTATGGTGTCTCTCCAGGAGTGGTGAAAGATTTGTGGTCCCAGACCCTTGCTCTATCCATCCAGGTCACCTAATGGTACTCAGTGCTTGACTTACCTTTGCTAAATGAATTTGAATCTTATTTTTAGCATCTGCAGTCTCAGCAATGCGATTGGTAAAAGCCAAGTTCACTTTGTTGAACTGATTCCACATCTCATTGGCAGTCACAACCAAGAGGTTTTGAATGTCATCTCTTAGTTTAGTGGAGGCTGCTCGTTCACTCTGGGAGTGGAGAATATTGTCATCTGTAAATTTGGCCCAGGACTCGGGCACTGAGACCCTGAAAAGAGGAAGTAGAACCAGACAATGGTGACAATGATGTATTGGCCTACATGGTCTGTAGGCAATCATTTATCCTATTCAAAAGAACCTAAATCACCAATCCTGGTTATTGCATAAAATGTAAACATCAGAGCAAAGCTTATTTTAAACTTTTCTTAGTTGCTCCTTATTCTTCTGCTGACCAACTTGCTAAAAATCCAAAGCATAAACTAACTTCTCTGCCAATCTAGGGAGAAAAAAAGGATTGTTGAAGGGTAAGGGTATGGAGGTTCATTGCAAATGTGTCACATTAGCCCAATAAGCATACGAAAAAATATTCAACCTCAGGAATAATCAAATAAGTAATGAAAACAACAACATACTAATAACCCTTTATCATAACAGCAAAGAGTGAATAGAATGATAATTTGCTGGAGAGCATGTCTAGAAAAAGATTCTCTTATATCCTGTAGGTAGGACTGTTAAATTGGTACAACCATGCTGGAAGGTAAAAAGTCAGCATAACAAGAATTTTTCAAATGTGTATAACCAAGAAATATCACTTCTAGAAATCTTTTTTGAGATATAATTGACATATAACATGGTATTGGTTTTAAGTGTACAACATAATGATTTGATATAGGTTTATATTGCAAAATAATCACCACAGTAACTAGTTAACAACCATCACCGAACAGTTACAAATTTTTTCCTGTGATGAGAACTTTTAACATCTACTCTCTTAGTGACTTTCAAATATACAATACAATATTGTTAACGAAAGTCATCATGCTATACATTATATCCCCAGAACTAAAAATATGAAATATTCCATGAATTTCTATGTCTTCCTTGCACAGGGGCCATGATAATTGTCTCTCTATTGTACCAGTGTTAGTATGTGTGCTGCTGAAGTGAGCACTCTAGAAATTTACCCTAAAGAAATAATATGCCAAATATGTATATGTGAGGATAGTCATTTTTAGCAATATTTAGGCCATTTTCTGATAAATGGGGAACAGCCTAAATGTCCAAAAGTAAAAACAAATTAAGCAAATTATGGTTCATTTAAAAAAAAAAGTAATCCATATAACATGCAAACTCTTGTTGTAGAAGAATATTTCACAAGCAACATTTTTGATATATCATGAAATGAAAAATTAGACATGTTATTCAAACAGTATGTGTGTAATTCCATTATTTAAAGACAAATCTGTTATCTACAAAATGGAAGTATATTGGAAGGACTAACAGTAAACTGTCAACATTGGGCATCTCTGGGTGGTTGGCTTATGGGTGACATTTCTTTGCTTGATGCAGTAGGATATTAAAAAAGACCCTCACTGTCAACTACAGGTTTTAGCTCAGGCCCCAATAGTCCAAAATAACACCCAATGTGCTCCATACCCTATCATTTTATAAAAGATGGCTAAGAATTCATGCCATAAATAGAGGAGGCCCTTTATGGAGGGCTAAGCAATCAGAGTGGTTCCATCCAAGCCCACCCCTACCCTGGAAGGAGCAAGAAAGATGATTCCTGCTCACCTCAAACCAAGTAGGAGGCATTTTGTGGATGCATTTTGCTTAGGACATAGAGTCTGAATCTGATTCACCCCTGAAGAATGTAAAAGTCAAAGTTGGTATGTGCTGCTGCTTCTACTATAGGAGCGCTAAGAGACAGGGCTGTTTTGGGGATGACCATCCCCACAGGAGAGACACGTTTGGAGTTCACTTTACAAGAGGAAGGGGGCATGAATGTGGGAAGGAGCCCAAGGGAACTTTTGGGGGTGATGGAAATTTTTTATCTTAACTGTATTCATGGTTGCTTAGGTATAGAAATTTGTCAAAATTCATCAAAATGTACACTTACACTGATTGCATTTTATTGTAGGTGACTTTTCCCTCAATGAAGTTGATTATTTTAAGAGGTGACTGGAAAAGATCATGAACCCAAGATTTCATGCAATGGCCTGGCAAAGAAACCATTGACAAAGCAAGTTTAACAAGCCATGGTAATAAAAATAATAAGCTGTCTTTTAACTTGCATCCCACCCATCCTGGGCATCCAATATACAAGCAGTACTTTTCTTTATGCTTCTCTGTGTTTTCTAGGTTTTCTGCTCTAACAAGGTATTATTTTTTATATTTAGAAGTATAAATAACAAGTATTCTTTTACAAAAGAATACAAAATGCAAGTTTCATGGCCTGACTGCAGAACATACATTTTTACTAAGACTTGTCCAAAGCAGATGTGTCTTTTACCTTTCCACATCTTCCCATGTCTTCTGTTTTAACCTGTAAGCTGCATCATTTTAAAAGAAAGGAAAGTGAATTAAAGGACATCAAAATTATAGAAGTGGTGTGTGCCTGACTTACGTTGCATCAACCCTCTCTACTCCACAAAAGTAGCTGATGCCACCTGATGTGTTTCGCAGATGGTGGCATTTATCATCAATCCGGTAAGCTGTCTGTTTATCACTCAGGTCCTTCTCCAGTTCATGCTGGGAAGCTCTGTTAGCTCTATAACACAGAATGCGAAAATGAATGTTCAGGTTTGTGTAACAATTTCATACAAGGCAGAGTATTTGCCCTCCTGTGTGTTGAGATCCACCCATTATGCCTCCTTCACACAATGTCCAACTTCTCAGTTAAAAGGAGCCTTCCCTGGAGATGTCCGTACATCTAGAGTAATTAGAACCCTCCCCACACTGCCCCTTCCCACACTGCATGGGAAAAAGAGGTGTAGATAAACAGAAGTCAGGTGTCTGGACCCCCAGGCCTGAGGCCCATCTTCCTAACACACAAACTGTTCCAGATAGGACATTAGTTTAGAGTAATCTGCCCACATCTGTGTCTCCCTTTCCTTTTTCCTTTTCCTCTTCTACATCCTAACTCTTTTCTCCCCCATTCTTTGAGTGCATATCTCCAAGAAATTTGAGGCATTTATAGCCTAGCTTCCCTCCAAGCCAGGCCTGAGAATTTGGCCAGAAGATGGAAACCAAAGGTCAATATTAACCCTCAGTGCTTTTAAAAAAATATCAAGAATGGATAGTGGTAGCCCTCTAGGCCGGTGTGCTCCAATACCCACCTTTCTAGAAAGGAAAAGGCCTTGGTGACCTCTAAGATGCATGGTATTCTCTGCCCTGCCAAGCAAAAAGAAGACCTGGCAGCTCACTATCAAAGATAGAAACCCAGAGGGCGGGCATGGATGACAGGTGAGCCATATCTTTACACATGGAATAGCTCATTCAACAAATAATTATTGAGTGCCTACTACATGCCAAGTTTGTGTAACAATTTCCATGAGCCTGAGATGCATTAATGAACAAAACAAACAAATCTTCCTCAAGTAGCTTACATCCTATTAAGAGGAGACAGGCAATACCCACAATGAATAAGTAAATCATGTGGTTCATTAGCAGAACAATGCAGAAAACAAGGCAGGAAAAGGGAACCAGGAGCATGAGTGGTGATTTTAAGTAGGATGTTCAGGGCAGGACTCCTTGAGGAGGCGATGCTTGAGCAAAGACTTGAAGGGGGAAAATCAGATCATACAGGGCCTTGATGGGCAATGGGAGGAACCAGGTTTTCTTCTGAGTGAAATGAGAGACCACTGACTTAACAATTTTAAAGGATCATTCTAGTGCTGAGAACAGACTGCAGAGGACAGAGAGACTCATTAGCCAGTGGTGCAGTTACCCAGGTGAGAGATGGTAGTGGCTTGGATCAAAGGGGTAGAAGTGAAGTTGGTGAGAAAAGTTCAGATTCTAGATATGTTTTAAAGATGAAACCAAGATATAAATAAGATGTCACACACACACACACACACACACACACACACACACACACACGAATATTATTCAGCAATAAAAAAATGAATTAAATGTTATGATTTGCAACAACATGGATGGACCTACAGGATATTATGCTAAGTGAAATAAGTCAGACAGAGAAAGACAAATATTGCATTATTTCAGTTATATGTGGAATCTGGAAAACAAAATAAAAGGATAAACAAAATAAAAGGATAAACAAAATAAAATAGAAACAGATACAGATAGATATAGAGAACAAGCCGATGGTTGCCAAAGGGCGACAGTGAGGGAATGGGAATAAAAAAATAAAGTATAGGGTGTATGAGAAGTCAAGAAACAGGATAGACTTGTTTTTAAACAGTATGTTAGCTTCTCAAATAATATCATCATTATTAAAAAAAAAAAAAAACAGATGGAACCAAGATAACCTCCTAGGAGGTTGGACATCAATCCAAGGATTGAGAAAAAAAGAACTGAAGTTGACTAATTGATATAGCAGAATTCCATCCACTAAGGCGGGCTAAACTGTGGGTGAGTAGGCTGGAGGAGAGGGCATAAGTTCAGTTGACACATTGAGTCTGAGTGTCTATTAAACATCCAAGTGGAGGTACTAAGTAGGCTGTTGGCATTTGGGAGAAGGGTCTGGAACATTAACAAAAATTTGGGAGGCACTATGACATAGATAGTATTTGAAAAAGCAGGCAACTGATGACCTTAATCATTTCTGTATTTCTGGTACCCAACAATGGTCTTAGCGTATAAGAGCCAATCAGTAAAGCCTGCATGGAGTTGAATAGATTAATTCTAGCTTCGGCTTCCCTTTAACATAGCCTGTGTCTTTGGGTAGTCACCTGACCTGTCAGAGCTCTCTCTCTTTTTTGATTTGTAAAGTGGAGATGAGGGTAGCAGAATGTTAGTCATTTGCATTTTGTGATTTCTAATACAGTATACCTGTACAAAGAATGAAAAGTAAGAAGCTATTTACTTGTTACATCTGTGTTTAGCCTCTTTCCTCAGATTATTGTGTTGAAACTCTGGGATTAGAAGACCTTTCTCATTTGTGGAAATGAGACCAAATGGGACCAAAATGCCCCATAGGCTTCCTCTCGTTGGCTGACTCCTATGACCTGCTTTTGTCCTGACCTCAGGCTCTCCTAAGAAAAGCTTTTGAGGCTGCACCCCATTGGCCTATCTGTAGTCCAAGATATAAGACAAATCTTAGCTGCCATGTTGGCACCTAATGAGATTCCTTTTTCAGCTGAGATCCAAACTAAACACTTCATTGTTCCTTCCAAGACAAGTGGAGTTCCAAAACCCTCCTCCCAACCTTTGCTATACCAAGGCAATAATTATGTTAGCTATCTGGACCCCCATAGATCCTGGGAAAGCCATCACAGGAAATGAGAGAAGCATTGCCCACTGTGTTAAAAGAAAGCCAAGCTCTTTAAAGAATCACCAACAAAGATTCCAAATAAGTACACCTACAGAGATGGAACTTTCTGCAAAGGCCTGCACCAGGGCCACTACTGAGGCAGTTTGTAACAGGGATTGATATGAAGATGTGGCTGTTCCAGGGTGGAACAATTTAGGCCAAGAAGAGAAAAGGACACGGGAGATGGGCAGCAGATTTTAGATTAAGAAAGAAGATGGGGATTAGGAACTGGACCAGAAGAAAACAGAACAGAAACAATTACTTGAACTACTCTAAACTGTGTTTTTGAAATTTCCAGGGAGCAGAAACCAGAATTTAATATTGGAACTGGACTGCCTGGTATTTATAGCTTAAGTAAATCGTACAGTTAACCAATTATGAATAATAAATTATCCTTAACTAATCTTTTACTTATCCTCACCAATTTTGAGTCCTTCCAATAAAAGTTTGAGAGATATCTCAGCCATCTGAAACTCACCCACCTTCACAGCATCAATCCTGATGGGCAAGGTAAACAAACCAAGTCAGAAATACCGACACCTTCATAACATTTATTCTTTTGGGATATATCACATATGATCCTTGACAATATTAGTATAAGCAGAATCGTTGCTTCTTTTGTTTGATATCAACACAACTTCTTTCCATGGCCAGAACTAAATGAACACTGATCT